CCATGAGTCCGCCCTGTGGCAGTGCCCTTCGCGGGGCTGGGGCCGGCACGACTGCAGCCACAAGGAGGACGCGGGCGTCTTCTGCTCAGGTGGGTCGGCTTCGGAGGAGTCCCGGGGCAGCCGGGCACCAAGCTCACTGGAGAGAAGTCTCGTGGGCTTTCCTTCCCGGGCTGGCTTCCACACATGACCTTCAGATCTCAGCCTCCGGCGTAGCTGCATGACAGGTGTGAGCCGCTGGCGACCAGCTCTTTTTCCTTCTGACTTTAACTTGGCCTTCTTTATCTAATGTGAGCACAGCTACGTCTCGTAAGCTTTGATTTGCTGTAATGCCTTTTGCTCTCCTCCCTCCTGGTCCGTGTCTTCTCTGGTGAGGTGAATTTCTTGTGGGTAACACATGGTGGCCAGGTCATAACTTAACCGAGGAAGTTAATATTGTTACATTCAAAGCTATTATTGTTAAATACACACTCGAGCCATTTTGTTAGTGTTTTGGGTGCATTTGTATTGTTTTTCTTCCTTCTTCTTTTGTTCATCTTTGTGGGTTGGTATTAGTGTTCCAGCTCCTCTCTTTGGTACATATGCTCTACTGCTGAATTTTGTCTTTTTGTGTTTTCATGATGCCGTTTCTCATCCTCTTGCTTCTAGAATAGGCTTCTGTAAGCATTCTTATAAGGCTGACGTGTGGATGAAGTCCTCAGTGTTTACTTGACTTGCAAATTATCCTTTCCTAAAGGAAATTGTATTCTTGGCTGGCATTTTCTTTTTTAGGACTTTGAATTTTCTTCTGGCCTGTAAGATTTGATGGTAAATCTGCTAGCAGCACGGTGGGGTTCCTATGTGACTTGATACTCTTGCTGTTTTCTCTCTGCCATATATATATATATATATATATATATACACACACACACACACACACACATACACACACACACATATACACACATGTGACTCTAGGAGAAGATTATTTTTCTTTTTAAAATTTATCTTTAAGTAGTTGTGCAAAGGAGTTGCCGTTTAATAGAGCAGTTTATGAAGACAGTGCATTTAGATCAATGTCACCCTTTCCAACATTCCCAGCTGTCTCTTTCCTAACCACTCCTCCCTTACTCTTAATTTGGTAGGATATACATTGACTTCTTGGCTGAATTCTCCCCCTCTTCTCCCCAGGTCCACCCCTTTCAAGTGCCTGCTTCCTAGTGTGTTTATTTTGTTGAGCTGTGACTTTGCCTTTCTAAGGAATTATAGTTTGAGTTCTCCTTTGAATTTACCATTTTACATTTTTTTTTTTGCCAGTCCTGAGGCTTGAACTCAGGGCCTGGGCACTGTCCCTGAGCTGCTTTTGCTCAAGGCTAGCACTCTACCACTTGAGCCACAGTGCCACTTCTGGCTTTTTCTGTGTATGTGGTACTGAGGAATTGAACCCAGGTCTTCATGCACGCAAGGCAAGCGCTCTACCACAGAGCCATCTTCCCAGCCCCAGTTAATACATTTGTAGATATCATTCAATGTACTTACTTATGAGTCTGCAAACTAATCCATATTGCACATATGAGGGAAATATTCACCTTGTGTCTCTCTAGGCCTGACAATTCATTTAACATAATTTTCTCTGGTCTTTCCATTTCTTTAAATGGTAAAATATCATTCTTTCCAGGATGAGTAAAATTCCATTGCGTGCATGTGCGTGCATGTTTGTGTGTGTGTGCGTGTGTACGTGCATGTGTGTGCGCATTTGTGTGTGTATGTGTGTGTGCGCGTGCGTGCGGCGCAGCACATTTCCTTGATCCCTTTGTCCATGGCTATCTGCACTGATTCCTTACTTGGGCCATGGTAAGTAGTGCTGCAGGAAGTATGGTTATGCTGTGGCTTCACTGTATCCTGGAGAATATTTGTAGACCAAGTCCATTGGGATCTAGATCTCTGGATCTGGATGCTTTTCCCTCTCACTCTCTGAAAAACTTCCGGCAACTCCTCAAAACTGTTACTTTCCTCATCCCATTATTTTATTTTTAATTGTATGTATTTAAATGTGTGTGGTGCTTTGATATACATATGTATACTGGAATGATTGCCAAAATCGAGTCAATTAAGATACCCAGCAATTCACCTAATTTTGTTTCTGTGGTAAAAGAATGTGAAATCTTTTCTATTAGCCTGGTTTTTAGTATACAATATACTGACACTAGTTCTCTGCTACACATTTAATCTTAAACTTACCTTCCTTTGACCTACTTCCCTCTGTTTTCTTCCCATAATTTAATTTTGTTTCTTTGTATTTAACATTTTATATATTTAATATTTTATATTGTGCACTATTTGTCATTATGTGTCTGCGATATTCCCTAGGGCTGTCGATTATTAGGTGTGATCATTTCTCCTCTCCTCCTTCATCCTCTTCCTCCTCCCATCTTCTATTTATTTAAGTATTGAGGTTTGAACTTAGGGCTGGGCACTTGTCAGGCAGTGGCTCTACCACTTGAGCTACCCACTCAACCCTTTTTACATTGGAGATATACAGTTCTAGTACCAAAGCTTGACTTTATGACTAACACTCAATGTAGGTCACATCTCCAGCCTGGCATTTTACTGGTTAATAAAAGACGGAGTCTTGGTTCTGCCTGGGCTAACTCTGAACCTTAATCCTCCAGGTCTCAGCCTCTTGAGTGCCTTGAGTTGAAGTGTGGGCACCTGGCTTTTGGCACTTTGGGTGTTGAGTTCACGCTCAGGCCAGCCTGCACTATAATCTTCCTACTTGTATTTCGAGGCTGGCATTACAGGCACACACCATCATTCCCATTTAGGAAAGTATTTCCTGTGTCATTTATGTGCTAATGGACATGTATGTGCAATGAAAAGAGGGTCATGGGTCTTTGACATACGACAATTTCCTTTGGGTACTGTGTCAGATTTTTCATCAGTCCATTTGCTTCTGGGCTAGGAATAGAGCTCACAGGGAGGGTAAGGGCAACTCTGGAGCCTAGCTCATGGTGCCAGAGAGCAGAGAGGAAAACAGAGGCACAGGACAACACAGTCTCCAAAGCATCCCTAGCACCCTACTTCCTGCGAGGCCCCACCAGCGAAAGAGTCCATAGTCTTCCCAAGTCGCAGCACTAGCGGAAGATGAAGGACCACGCCTTCAGCAGTGAGTCTCTTGGAGACATTTCCTTAAAACCACACTAGATATAGATCTAGATTGGCATAATTGGAGCCCATGGGATTTCTAGTCTTTTGAGTACCCTTCTCACTACTTTTCACAATAGCTGGATCTACCCATGTGCCAGTGATGCCAAGGGCATGCTGGGTAAGACACCGAGGGCAGCTGAGATGCCCTCCGCTGGGCTTCTCCCTCTGAGAACAGGCTCCGGAGCCTGACACAGGGCTTCTCTGTGCTTGTCCTGCAGAGTCCGTGGCACTGAGGCTTCGAGGCAGTAGCAGAGGCTGTGCTGGGTGGCTGGACGTGCTGTACAATGGGTCCTGGGGTGCTGTGTGCAGCAATGCCCTCAGGGATGTCTCCGTGACTGTCATCTGCAGGCAGCTGGGGTGCGGGGACCGGGGCTGGCTGGAAAGCAGGCCCCCCCCTCCGGCAGGTTTAGGCATCTCCTGGGTCGACAGAATTGAGTGCCGCAGGCCACACAGCTCCACTCTGTGGCAGTGTCCCTCCTCGCCCTGGCACCCTCAGTCCTGTGCCCCGGGAGAGGAGGTCTGGATCTCCTGCTCAGGTGGGTGCTGTGGTCTCAGAGGTGCTGTGGAAGGCTGTGTGTCTGCTAGAGCCCAGGCCCTGCCCGTGGGTCATGGTGGCCCACAGCTGGATTCTGTGGAGTTCCTGGGCATTTACGCTGTGTCTTCCCACAGGACAGTCACAGGCAGTACCACAGGCCTCTGGGGAGACACTCAACTGCTCATCCCCACTCAGCTGCCACGGTACCGTCAGTCTGCCTCCCAGTTGCCTTGTGCATCCAGATGCAACGCCACCTTAACCTCACATCTCCTTCCAGAGGAGGGTGCTCTGCGGGCGATCGGGGGCCCCGACGGCTGCTCCGGGCGCGTGGAACTCTGGCACGCGGGCTCCTGGGGCACCGTGTGCGACGACTCCTGGGACCTGGCGGATGCGGAGGTCGCGTGCCGCCAGCTGGGCTGCGGCCAGGCCGTGGAGGCCGCGCCGGGGGCCGCCTTCAGCCCGGGCGTGGGGCCCGTGTGGCTGGATGAGGTGGGCTGCCGGGGCAGCGAAGTGTCCCTGTGGCGCTGCCCCGCGGAGCCGTGGGGGCGCGGAGACTGCACCCACAAGGAGGATGCGGGCGTGCGGTGCTCAGGTGAGGGCCCAGGGGCGAGTTTGGGGTGATCCTACCTTCTGCTCAGCCAGATCGCCTTGCCTGGGCCATGAGGCAGAGGCTCTGCTGGGTAGGGCAGCACAGATGCCTGTGCTGCCCTGTGGGGCACAGGTCTGTGCTGCTGAGGGCAGTTGATGCCTTCCCGCCAGCATTCCTCCTGTAGGTGCCACGGCACTGGGTAGGCGACTTGTTCTCACGCCCATTCTCCTCCTGCCCCTCAGTGCCTAGAGGGCCTGAGGTGGATCTCAGCTCTGCCCAGTGCTGGGCACCTGTGGAATCCTGGCCCGTCATCTCTTCTTTAGCTGGTCTGGCCCTTTAGGGATGGCTGCCCAGCCTACGTGGGCAATGCTTTTTCCTGTCCCTGTGGGGGACAGAGGCCCCAGTAGCTACTTCTTAGGTCTTTCCCTTGCTGACTGCGGGGTCCAGCACATTTGGATGTCACAGCTCACGTCCAATGCGGAGCTGAGGAGGGCAGTGACCACAGTGAGACCCTGGGGCCCATACCAGGTCCCCCCACACCCTGCCTTAGTGCACACACCGGGACTTTCCAAGGAGCCTCCCTAGGGTCCTTCCACCCACGGTCTCTGCAGGTCCACTTGGGAACTTCCACCTAGATGCTCCTACGTGGGCCCTCCACACCGGCAGGTTGGCCTCTGCCTGGGGCCATGTCTGGGTAGATGTCTGGAGGCCTTGTGGGTGCCCCGCCCCTTCCTGAGGGGCTGAGGGTCACAAAGCCCTGGGCAGTTCAGGCACACAGGAAGCCCCGCCTCTCTCTGTGCCCACAGCCCCTTCTCCAGCTCCTCTGCCTGTGCAGTCGGTCTGGACTCTGCCTGAGATCTCCTGCCTGGTCCTTGGCTGCTCTCTGGCCCTGACCCTCCTGGGCCTGGGTGCTCTGTGGTGCCGAGGCAGAGCTGCCAGCATGGGTATGTGACGACTCAGAGGGGGAGAGACTGAGACCACGGCCACAGCAGGTCCTCTCTGCTCTGGTCCCTGCCGTGTGTACTAGCTAGTCTCCAGGCCAGCCGAGAGTGGGTGGGCTTCTTTGCATGCCTGAGCTGTTGGGAGAAGAGTCCCCTCTTCTTCTGAGATAGGCTGGATGAAGAAATGTTGTCTTCTCAGGGTTCTGGAAATATTTGTCTGCCACCCAACCCCTTCATTATTGCTCAGGAATGAGTGTAGTGCCTGTACCAGCCATCTCTCCCTAGGACACAGCCTGTGTGCCCAGCAGTAAGGGGTTCATCTGTCTCAGCACCCGGGGGGTGGATACAGGGCCAGGGAGGGCTCCACCTGCAGGAGGGCTTTGCCTTAGGTGTTTCTGGTGTGGCATTTGCAGGTTCTGGAATGTCTGGGCACTTGCCATCAGAAGGTATCTACGAGCACATTAAAGCCATTTCTGTGGAGAAGAAGCAAGAGGAGCCCACAGTGTCCAGAGACCTGGTGCAGGAGCAGGATTATGACGATGTGGGAGACCCAGAGGAAGACTCTGGAGAGGAGGAGGAGGAGGAGGAAGAGGAGGAGGAGGATGGGGCCTTCCTGAGCCCGGCGGGTGTGCACCTCTGTGCCCTGGGGTCCGTGGCCCTCCTCCTGCTGTACTGCTCTCATGCAGGGAGCTCTGCTCTGGCTGGCACCTATATTTAAAGAATCAGCGTTGCTTTTCTGTGTCTCTGAGCCTCAATCCCATCTCTGGCCTAGGGCATTTTGCCCTTAAAGCTGCTCCGTAGGCTAGAGTCTTGTAACAGGCAGACTTGTGGGCTTTGGTTTCCTTTTGAGCTCTTTCATACATGCCCAGAGGGTTCTCAAGCACCTTCTGGAGGGACCCTGGTGCACAGTGACTGGGGAGGCGGTGTCAGTGTGAGAAGCGATCTCATGGCCACCTGCCTGGTCCTGTGCAGCTGTGTGTCCCTCGGTGTCCACTCTGCAGAGGGAAAGCAGGGCTGAGGATGCCTGGCGCTCTGAGCAGTCCCTGGAGGTGACTGGATATGTCTCTTGTCAAACACAGATGGGGCTCCTGACAGCCTTGGTCCTGATGCTCAGATCAGCACAGAAGATCTTGGCACAGGCCAGCATGTGATGACCCTGCACTGACCTCAGGGGACATGAGCCTGTCCAGAGCATGGTATAAAGGAACCCAGGAGACCGGAGCCTTCCTCGGTCTCATTCTTTAAACATGGTATTAAGCTCCTTTGGAGCTCATCCCTCCATCTGTCCACCCACCCACCCGTCTATCCTCAGTCTTTCCCAGAAACTTGTTACACTCTACTATGGCCCTCACTGTGCTCTGCCCCATTGCAGACTTTTGTCCTCATGTTTAAAGCAGCCTTTATGGGTTTTCTGGTCACCCTTTCCTCATCCTGACCACATGTATCCAAGACCACATTCTCCATGTCCTGACCACATGTGTCCAAGACCACATTCTCCATGTCCTGACCACATTCATCCAAGACCACATTCTCCATGTCCTGACCACATTCATCCAAGACCACATTCTCCATGTCCTGACCACATGTGTCCAAGACCACATTCTCCATGTCCTGACCACATGTGTCCAAGACCACATTCCCCATGTCCTGACCACATATGTCCAACACCACATTCTCTATGTCCTGACCACATTCTTCCAAGACCACATTCTCAATGTCCTGACCACATGGTCCAACACCACATTCTCCATATCGTGACCACATGGTCCAACACCACATTCTCCATATCCTGACCACGTTCATCCAAGACCACATTCCCCATGTCCTGACCACATTTGTCCAAGACCACATTCTCCATGTCCTGACCACATGGTCCAACACCACATTCTCCATATCCTGACCACGTTCATCCAAGACCACATTCCCTATGTCCTGACCACATTTGTCCAAGACCACATTCTCCATGTCCTGACCACGTGTGTCCAGGACCACATTTCCCATGTCCTGACCACGTGTGTCCAAGACCACATTCTCCATGTCCTGACCACATGGTCCAAGACCACATTCTCCATGTCCTGACCACATGGTCCAAGACCACATTCTCCATGTCCTGACCATGTTCATCCAAGACCATATTCCCCATGTCCTGACCACATTCATCCAAGGCCACATTCTCCATGTCCTCACCACGTTCATCCAAGACCACATTCCCTATGTCCTGACCACATTTGTCCAAGACCACATTCTCTATGTCCTGACCACATGGTCCAAGACCACATTCTCCATGTCCTAACCATGTGTGTCCAAGACCACATTCTCCATGTCCTGACCACATTCATCCAAGACCACATTCTCCATGTCCTGACCACATTCCCCATGTCCTGATCACATGGTCCAAGACCACATTCCCCATGTCCTGACCACATTCCCCATGTCCTGACCACGTTCTCCATGTCCTGACCACATTCATCCAAGACCACATTCCCCATGTCCTGACCACGTTCTCCATGTCCTGACCACATTCATCCAAGACCACATTCCCCATGTCCTGACCACATTCCCCATGTCCTGATCACATGGTCCAAGACCACATTCCCCATGTCCTGACCACATTCATTCTCCATGTGACCGCTCTTCTCTCCTAATGAGCCTGTGATCACACACTTTCATCCCCATCTATCAGCTGCTCACAAGTGACCACTGCCTATGGCCTTTGCACCTCGGTTAGCCCTCAGTAGACACACATTCAGGCCCAGATCTTCATGTATGCATTCCCTCTGGGAATCCTGGCCATTCTCTTCTCTGTGTGGTCAGGAAAATGTCTGCAAATGAATGGAATTAATCGTAAATTAAAAAGCATTGCCCTGATGAAGTTCTTTTGGATAGTGGATCCCCATGGTATCCTTGGGTAGAATGTAGTCAGTTGACTTTGGATCTTAAATTACCTCCAAAGGCTCTGTTTTGATGGCTTAGGCATCAGCTTCTCCTGTTACTAGAAGGTGTCAGATCTCATGGAATACAGTGTAAGGAAATTTGGTCATTTGGTGCATGCATGCCCTTGAAAGGGCATTTGGGTCTCAGCTCCCTCTTCTCCCTCTCTCATGTTTCCTAGCCACTGTGTGGTGAGCAGCTAAGTTCTACCATGTACCACATCATGATGTTCTGTCTCTCCAGAGACTCCAAAGCAGCTGGTACAACCAACCATGGACTGAAACCTCTAAACCTGAGTCAAAAGACTTCTTTGAGTGTCTCAAGTGTTTAGTCATAGTAACGAACAGCTGACTACATACACACTTATGATATCAGTGAAGGACCTATAGTGCTTTCATGTAGAGTGGCATCTACATGGGGAGGTCCTGGAAGCCAGTGGTTCCCATGGTGTCCTTGAGTAGAATGACCCTTGTAGTGTTCTTATGTCAGATGACCTCTGGGCTTCTTACCATTCAATGAAATTCCATGCCTTCCTGATGTAAAGTGGGCCTTCTTTGTGACCTTGTGTAGAAGAGACTCTCACGGTGGGTGGGCATCGAGTAGACCCTCATGGTGACCTGGTTTGGAATAGTCTGTCATGGTGATCTAGTACAGACCAGACCACGGTGGCCCGCGGAGAATAGACTTCACACATAATAAATCTTCATGATGGCCTTTACAGAGGTTTCTCATGTTTTCCTGGTGATCACTGAACTCTCATTTACGATGGTCCCCATGGTATCTTGGAGTGGAGAACAAACCGGAACCCTCAGGCAGGATGAATCCTGTGGTGTGTTTGTGTAAGAATTGCTTCCTGGGGCTAAGAACACTCCTAGTGTAGGACACTGCTACCCTCGTTCTCGGGATGACTTGATGCTGGTGGCTTCCTGTGTCCGTGCAATCCTCCACATCCTCCCACCCTCATGGACTGGTAGAAGACAGTTTGGAAGCAGGAGAGGTCAGCTGAAGGAGGCCAAGTTTGCTAGAGACTCCAAAGGCAGAAGTCTGGCTCCCTCCCCAACTTCCTTCGCACTGGTCTGTGATCGCCTTCTGCTGTGCTCTCCAGACCTTGGGCTCCCTTCCCTTTCTCCTCTCCAGAGCCGACTCTCTTCTCCCCAGAAGCACAGAAGCCCCCTGTCCCCCTTGAGTAGGAGGTGTTCCGCTTTTTCTTCTAATAAAATTCGAAGTGTTTCAAATGCCTGCTTGTACTGATGAGAAATCCTGTGGGCATTTGTTGGGCAGAGTGAATGACTGGGACACCAGGTGTGGTGATGTATGTCTTGGGGCCTGGCCTGTTCACGTTCAGGCCAGGCCATGGCTGCACTGGACATGGAGCAGGGAGCAGGGGGTGGTGAGTGCAGGAAGGGTCTCTGTGTGAGTCCTTCCTGCTTAGGAGAATCTGGGCCCATGCCAGCTGCGTATACCTCTGCGTCTGCATCTGGGTCCTGGACTGATGTTGAAGAGAACCTGTGCCATGAGGTGTGTTCACAGCCCCTTGTCTTCCTGTGCAGTTTCCCACCCAGCCTTGTCCTCACAGGCCTGCTGGCGTGACTGCAGCTCCTCGGGGCTCACAGGTGGCTGCGCACCGCCATCTTGACTTCTTAGTAAGTCTCACTGAGGGGACTGTTATCTTCCTCTTACTATGGATCCAACAAATTATGTAGTGGACTCAACATATCTTTTTGACTGAGATTATTTTGTTTGCAAAATTGTATGCTTATTTTCAGATCTTTAGAATATGAAGACAGAAAATACGTAAGAAAATAGAAAATCTGGAATGTTTTATTGCTTAAAATGATTTCAAAATACATTTTATTGTTATTGTTGAGGTGTTGTACAGAGGGATCGCCACATCATAAGTGAGGTAATGATACACTTCTTTTTGGACAATGTCACCCCTTTCCTTTGTGTTCCCCCAGTTCCCCCTCCCATCTCTGCCCACAAGTTGCATAGTTCATTTTCTGTTCAGAGTTTGCTGAACACCACGATCGCTTTGCTCACCCTCCCCTCCCTTGCTGTGCCCCACTTTGCCTCTGCTAAAATGACAAAAATAAATCTCAGAGCAAAAACACATGACACCATCACCACCACCAGCAAGGGACTCCATGCTTCCATCTTCCAGAATTTGTTTTACTAAATACTATTAAATGTTCAGAGGCGTGACATCTTTGGGTTCCTCCCCTGAGTATCCTCTTTAGTCTGACTCTGTCTGAATGCTAGAGTCCTGTATAAGTTATCATGTCCAGTTGTATTTTAGACCTAGCTTCCACATAAGTGAGAAAATATGTACCATTAAATATTTTAAAGTATGGAATATATTTGATGAAACTTACTTTCAGAAATGCATAGTGATGGGCCCAATTGGAATAATTGGATTTTCTGTATGATTTGCCCTTGACAGTCGAATCCTCCTCAGTAGCTTTCCAATAAATAAATCTAAGTGACATTGTGTCCCTTGTTCAGATGGTCCTTAGTTTTCCACCCATCTTTGTGCAGCTGACTTGCACCTCCTAGGCAGTGCACTCGGCTCCTCTAAGTGCACACCCTCCAAGGAGCCTGTGTCCATCCTGGCTGGTCACTCGGCTTGCGTGCTTTTGGGCATTGTGATCAGATTGCAAAGTCTGCCTGTTCGTGACATACTGATCCTGGAAGGACACCCCATCTTCGTGTGAGGCCGAGGAAGCCCATGCTCTCCTGCATGGCCTTGTTCGTGGCAGCCAAAACGCTGCTGTACAGGGACCCTGGACCCGTCACACCTGGAGCTGTGTGATGCCAGCTGCAGGAACCACAACTAGTTCACACTGGGCTGCTGGGGGGCCTGGCCACAGCCCGGTGGAGAGCACCTGCGCAGGGTGGCAGAGAGCAGCTCTGCTGCGGAGGAGGCACCCCAGCTCACACTACAGCCCCAGAGCAGCGTCATCTCCTGAGGCAGAGCACAGCTGCCGGAGCCCAGACTGCAGCCTGACAAGCTGCAGCCGCAAGCCCGCCAGACATGGTGCTCTCCCCTCTGGGGCTGGGGACTGTTCTTCTGGCCTGCTGGGCCTCTCCCCCTGGTGAGTATGCTCTGCGGCTGTCCGCAGTCCTGGGGCCAGGGACCCAAGTCTGCTGTCTGCACAGGGTGGAAGTCAGACACAGTTCTGATACCACATCTCCTTGTGCTCATTTTTGTGAACTTCCCTTTTACCACAGTGACTGTGTACTGATTCCCATGAGATAAAGGAGGGGTCTGGGTGGAAAACAAGGGCAAGCTTTCTAACATGGATCCTCCTGAACAAAAATCCCCCGCAATCTTCTGTACCATCCTGTGCTCTTTTCCTGAAGGTCCGGCTGGAGCGGAGTCTGTGACTCTCCTGGATGGCACAAACCACTGTGAGGGTCGTCTGCACCTTCAGCATCACGGCCAGCAGGGCTTTGTGTGTGGGGACCACTGGGGCCTGCGGGAGGCCACGGTGACCTGCAGACAGCTTGACTGTGGCCATGTATTAGCTGCTCCTCAGTTTGTTTTACGGCCTGAAGAGATGAGTGGGCTGTGGCTGTTTGGAACCCAGTGCCAGGGGGAGGAGGCCACCCTTGGGGAGTGCTCGCTGGGGAGCTGGGGCCTGATCGCCGACTGCAAGTGCCAATGTGTGGTGTCAATCGTCTGCTCAGGTAGGTCAGCTGAGGACTCCCAGCCCTCCTAGTTCTGGGACTCCTTCCTTGTTCAGGATCCAGAGGGGAGGAGGACCAGTCTGGCCCAGGTGTGGTGTCTCATTTTCTCAGGGGTCTGGGGTTTCCTCCTGATGCAGGATGAGGGCTTTCCTCTTTGTCCCAATGCATCTCTGCTCTCCCCTGTGTGGGACTCTGTCTTGATCACTGTTCATAGGATTTCCAGGGTTCTACATTTACCCACCAAAGCTATGCTTTCCTGGGTCGTCCTGGGCCACCTCAGCCGAGTGTTTTCACAAGCTCTTTCTGTGTGCTGAGTACAGCTCCAGAGGGCAGTTACCCATTGGATACTCCAGGGAGCAGTTACCCATTGGATACTCCAGAGGGCAGTTAGTTACCCATTGGATATTCCAGGAGGCAGTTACCCATTGGATATTCCAGAGGGCAGTTAGGAACCCACTGGCTACTCTGGGCAGGTGTCCTGTCGTGGGTTCCCCTGGCAGCTTCTTGGTGCTGTGTGCAACTAGCCCACAGCCCCACAATCCTGAGGGTGACGGGTGGGGCTGCGGCCACGGTGCTCTGGAATGTGTCCCTGGGTGCCGTGGATGCTGTGTGAGGCTGGTCACAGCACCGCTGAGAATCTGTGCCCAGCTTCCAGGTCTGTTTGTCTTCCATCCCACTAGGGAGTACCTTGGGAAAAATTAGACTGCACGGCGGTGGAAGCCCTTGTGCAGGGACCCCAGAGTCAATCAACCTTGCCGGCTTCGCCCTGCGGTGTGACTTGCAGCAGCAGGAGGCAAGTGTGTTTTGCAGACAGCTGGAGTGCGGCGCTGCTCTGCAGTGGTCGAGAACCTACCCTGGAGGGGACCCTGAGAGTCAGGAGCAGAAGATTGTGTCCTGTCAGGGGACAGAGGCCAACATTTTCCAGTGCAAGATCAACGTGAACTTCCTAGAGCAGTGTTACCGTCCAACCTACACCCAAGTGGTGTGCACAGGTAGAGAGCCCCTGGGCCAGCGCATTTTGGCTGTGTTTTTGGGTCTGCCTCACCACATGGGGACATGGTGAATGGAGACCTTTCCTGTGGATGGTGGTTGATAGGATTTTGCATTTCTACTGGGTAGAGGTTCAGGAAAGCCCCAGGCAGCAGTCTCAGTGGGCAGAACTCAGATCTCTATCTGGCCTGTGTTCTGGGGCTGAGGGGCAGTGCCCACTTACTCTGCCTATGCAGTCCCAGTCAGCCATGTCCTTCCAGATGCCAGGGAACCATGGGTCTTTGTGATCTTGGCACACTTGTGAGGTCTCTAGGGAGGTCTGGAGAGGGGTGGCACGGCTCTGAGTCTGCAGACCCCCGACTTACCCTTGGGCATCTGGACCCTGGGGCGCAACTATGTCAGGTTGTCCTGGGTCCTGGAGGGCTGAACGGTGGCCACTTGAGCTCAGTAGTTTGCATGGAGCCTTCCCTACCCTTGGTTGCTCCAGCTCGGTGTCTTCCTCCAGGACACGTGGAAGCCCGCCTGGCGGGCGGCGACCACCCCTGTGCAGGGCGCCTGGAGGTCCTGCGCGGCCTGACCTGGGGCACGGTCTGCGATGCTGACCTGGACCTGCCCACAGCCCACGTGGTGTGCCGGGAGCTGGGCTGTGGGGTGGCGGTGTCCACACCTGGGGGCGCCCACTTCGGCCAGGGGTCAGGGCCTGTGTGGACGGAGGCGTTCCGCTGTGTGGGCAACGAGTCGCTGCTGTTCTACTGCCCAAGGGAGCCGGGGCACCGGTGCGCACACGGCCAGGATGCCGCACTTGTCTGCTCAGGGGAAAGTGAGTTGGGCCAGGCCCGGGAGGGATCTGGACTGTGCTAGTGGAGTCTGGGGCCTCAGGGACTGGGCTGTGATGGTGGTGGAGAGCCGGGTCACGGGGCTGGGGGCCAGACTCCTCTATTAGTTGGCTTTCCTGGGCCTCCTCTCTTCCGTTTCCCAGCTTCACATGCGTTTGCTCACCATTTTCTCTTTGGAGAAATATCTATTCCTGTCGCTCATTTCAGAAATAGAATGCTTCTTTATGTGATGGTGTTGTGTGTTTTTGAATATTCTGTGTGGTAGACCTTTATAAACTCATGATTCAAAGTCCTGTGGCTCCAAAGTGCACTTTGATATATGTTTCAATTTTGATGGGTTACAACAGCTAGTTTTTGCTTTACTGTTTGTGCTTTTGGTGTTAGTTAAAAGCCCTGCATTGTCTGCTCAGTGCTTTCTCCTAGGGCTTTTGTCTGTTAGTGTTTATCTTTGTCTTCTGGGCCTCTTGGCCCCTTGGGCAGGCTGAGCTAGGTGGCTCTGGTTCCTTGTTGCTTCCTGTGACAGATTGCAGCCTCTAGCTCTCTTACCCCCAGTCGTCTCAGGGAGCCTGTCCCGATCTTGTTGCTCATCCAGTGTCTCTCCAGGACACATGGAGGCTCAGCTCATGGGTGCTGAGCCTGGAATATTTGTGTGGTCTTATCTGGGGCACCATCGGCCACATCATTGGTCTGGATTGCCATTGGTTTGTTCCTTTGAATGTGTGGAGTAGTAAGCTTTACTGTTTCCATAAGGCTACCCAGTGTGCTCAGTAGCTTCTTCAAGAGACTCTTTCCCAGTGAAAGATACCTCAGTGTCATGACACTTAAAAAGTTACAAGAATTACCACATGCATGTTGTTTAAGTGGTTATGCTTCACTGTGATACTTCCGTGAGGCATGTATACACGCTTTGATTTTGTTCATGCTTCCTAATTTTATATTGTCCATCTTTCCTCTCTCCTTTTTCCCTTCCCCAGTTCCTTTTCTTCCTCTTCTATTTTCAGGTCTTTAAAAAATATAATTTTATTGTTATTTTAAAGTGTTATTCAGAGGGGTTACCATTTCATAGGTCAGGTAATGAGAACATTTCTCTTTTGGATGGAATCTCAAAGTTGTTTTGATTTTCATTTCCTTTATGATCAGAGATGCCAAATGTTTCTTCATGTGTCTATTTGTCATATTTACTTCTGAGAAGTCTCTCTTTAGCTCATTTGCCCATTTATTGATTGGTTTATTACATAGCTTTTGACCTTTTCTCTTATCCTAGACATATATTAGTTATTGCAAATAAGGGAAATCATGGGACCTATCTTTCTTTGGGCCTAGCTTACTTCACTTAATATAATTTTTTCCAAGTCTTTCCGTTTCCTAACCAATGGGGCAATGTCATTCTTTCTGATGGAGGCATAGAATTCCATTG